TGTTCAGATTTAGAGGAGTATCTGACAGACAGCAATTTGCGAAGCAGTGAAAGATAAATCCCTTATTGTGGAGTTAAGCATTAGTTACAGTGTTGAGCCCACCCTTAGCCCAGAGCCGGAGAGATAGGGAAAAATGTGTATGAATGAGTAAATGATATCTAATCTCTTTGTAAACTCATACTAAAATAACAATAAAAATATAAAGAAAAAAAATCTTAAAGAGGAAAAATAATGTGTAGCCTAGACCATAGACATGCATGATTATTTCCTACTCTCTTACAAATTATGTTACTCTATTTGACAATAATGAAGTAATTTTTTAAATAAACTTTACACATGTTACTCTTACTGAATGGAGGAAGAAAGAACATTCACTCAGTTATTTTGCATGTGTTTATGTATTTGGAAGTTGATTTTAAGGACTAAGCAGTGTTTTGTTCCTGTTATACATTGGGTCAGTTTGAACCAGAACTGACTTGAGAAACATCTAACGACAATTTCAAACATAACTATCATTATTTTCTTGTGATCAAAAGAATGAGGTCATGTGTAATTAATTATTTGATTTATTTATTTCACCCATTTACCAACTTCCTGAGTGTAACTGATTTATCTAATCCTGTTTCAGAACCTTGGAACCAAATTAATATACTGATATACTAAGAATTCTACTTGTTTTTAGTGTCCCTCTCTTTAACTTATATCTGTGGGTAAATTTAGGCACTGGGGAAAGCTTGAATAAAATTGAAGCCCTCTTTTAGCCAAAGTTAATTTAAGAGGGTTGAAGAATAATTTTTTAAAGTTCATGAATATTGAGGTGTGCTTATGAATAGAAATTTGGAAATTAAACACACTTGTGATCGCACTTCATAAAATATAATTTGAGAGCATAAAAGCTGAACTAGGATATTAGGAAAATATTCACATTTACCCAGGAAGGAGGAAAATAGATTTAGAAGAAATAATTAGACAGGGTCAGGTATGCTGCTTTAGACCCATAGAAAACTTATGGACAACTGCATGAAACAATGCCCCATCCTGCACTAGTCTCTCAATTTCTTCGACTGCTGTAATCATTGAGTCAAGCCTTCTCATTGAGTGTCTTCCTACCCTTCACTGATCCTTGAGTTTTCTAAGAATAAAGTCTTTTTCACGGGCTGGTTTCTACTTATAACCTACTTGGAAGCATTGTTGGACTACTGGTAAGAAGTTGGGCTGGAAGCCCAAAGGCACATGGTTCAAATCCACCAGCTGCTTCACAGGAGAAAGACAGTCAGTCTCCTCCAGGTGATTTATCTGTGAAAATCCACTGCAGGGAGAACTATTAATCGATTTTGATTTGACTGCAAACAATGACAAGACACAGTCTCAAGTATCCTTGTTTCTAAGCAGCACACTGACTCTACTCCTGCCAAGAAAGATTTTTAGATTCTATTTTCAGTTCAAAGGAAAGAAAGACCCTTAAGTAGGTGGATTGACACAGTGATTGTTGCAATGGGCTCTTGGGTGTCAGGAAGTGTGAAGATGATGCAGGTAGAACAGGGTTCAGATCTTTTGTTCATAAGGTCACTCAAGTTGACGGCACCTAAATCAACAACAATACCCCAAGTCAAAGACATCAGTTCTTCCTCGGTCTTCTTTACTCATGTCTGGAAATCACTTATGTAAAACAACTGTGAAATATCATCTCACTCCAGCAACAATAATAAAGTTCAACAGGACAGTAAATAACAAGTGCTGGGGAGATAGTGGAGAGATTGGAACTCTTATTCACTGTGGGTGGGAATGTAAAATGGTATGGCCACTATGAAAGGCAATCAGGCCCTTTCTCAAAGTTTGAAACAGAAATATAATTTGACCCAGTAACTCCTCTACTTGAAATATATATCCTCTATAGAAACCAGAGCTATGACTCAAACAGATGTATGCATATCCATGTTTACTGGTGCCTTATTCACAATAGCAAAGAGATGGAAGCAACTCATCAACAAACTAATGAATAGGAAAACCATGGTACTTTCACACAGTTGAATATTACACATCACTGAAAAACAACAAACTTGTAAAACATTATACTACATGGGGGAGTCTTCAGGACATTATGGTAAGTATCTCAGTCACAAAAGGACAAACACTGCATAACAACACTTTTTTTCAGAAAGGGACAGATATGGGGAGGTTGGGGAGAGAATGGGAAACGAGTGGATAGATAATGAACACTGCATTAGAACAGATGAGAAAAACTGACCAAAAGAAGCCTATGATTGGGCATTTTATGTATGACAATAATTTGGAATGAGGGATGAATTACAGAATGAAAAGGGGCAGGGGAGGGAGTAAGAAGGGGAAGAAGAAAATGTGCAACAATGAAAAACTGTAAAAAGAAAAAAGAAATCAAATTAATAGGAAAAAATTTCAAATACGATGACCCAATACAGGTACATCATACTCTTAAATAAGGTGACATCTTTTCGCTTTAGCAATTGTAGCAAACTTTATCATTGTAATATGTTGCTTGATTTCTCTTCTTGATTACACAGACGATGAATACAGTTCCAAAAGGAATGAAATCACTGTCAACCTGAATCTTATCTTTTTAGTATGATGTTGCCTATTGGTTCAGTTGTGATGATTTTTGTTTTCTTTATATTGAGATGTAATCCATAGTGAATACTGTAGTGTCTCTCTAGAAATAAAGTGAGTTACAATATGAAGTTCATTATGTTAGTTATTTATGCAAAGCATCTTAATTTTTTAAAAAAGATTTCTACCGCCTGTACGTCTCTGAATCTGCTCCCATTGGGACGTCTATAGGAACACTTGTGGCATTTGACAGTGACATTGGAGAGAATGCAGAAATGGACTACAGCATTGAAGATGATACACAAACATTTGACATCGTCACTAACAATCAGACTCAAGAAGGAATAGTTATATTAAAAAAGGTACGTGTATCTAAATCATTTGCTTTACACAAAAGTGGAACATCAAGTAAGAAGTACATACTATATAATATGCATCTAGTCTTTGCTTTACCAACTACTTGAAACAAGAAACTGTGATATATAGCTTAAAAGAAAAAAATGTTATATAGAGATCTATAGATAGCTTATTTATAAATATTTTCCAATAAGGAATAATTTTTATGGGAATGTAAGATATTGAATAGGAGAATTTCTTCACAAATCAGTAAAAGAATTATGCTTTAAGAAACCTAATTTTAATCCTAAATCAACAATAAGTCATTATTGAAAAATGTTTTCTAATGGATGCAAATAGAAAAATTCAAACACCGATTTATAATGGACTTGCTTTATAGTCATATGGAATCCAAGTACTTAACGTGCAAAACTTAAAGCAACTGAGAAATATTGAGATAATATCACTTTATATCCCCATGAATAATTTCTTGGATTGCAGAGGTCATGTGTTCTGTGCACATTGTTTTTCTTTGCAGATGGTGGATTTTGAGCACCAGAATCATTACAGCATTAGAGCAAAAGTTAAAAATCGCCACGTTGCTGAGCATCTCCTGAAACATCATACTGACCCGTCCACTACCTTCATTAAGGTGCACGTGGTGGATGAGGACGAACCTCCTGTTTTCCTCCACCCTTATTACATATTTGAAATTTTTGAAGGAAATGAATTTGGATCCTTTGTGGGAGTGGTATCTGCCACAGATCCAGATCATAGGAAGTCTCCAATCAGGTATGTCTACATGTTAGCGGTAAAAAGCATTACGGCGGCCATGGAGGTGGCAGACTATGACCACTACTAAGTCCACAAGGGGAAGAATCCCTATCCAGAACGTCAACAGCACAAAACTAGTTTCTACAAGATCAGACATATCCCTACTCTTGCGTGCCTGCATCTGGCAATTCTAACACCAAATATCCCTGGGTTTGAGTAATCTTACTCTGTTGTAATAGCCTCACAGAACTCACAATTAATACTCATGATGATAGGTGTTTTCGGAGACGTAACTGTTTACAACTCACAATTCAGGTCAGTAGCAGTCAGTATACAATTCCTCACCGATGACAGCTTCTCAGGTGTGACTGAAGGTAGCCCTCTCTCTGACCGACAGCCTTGAGGCTTTCAGTCACTGTTAGCATTCTCTTCTCGTTCTGCCAGCTATAATGTCTCTCCTTTCCCCGCTCCTCCTCCTCCTCTCCCACTAAGTGTATGTCAGTCAGTCTCTAAGGTCTGCATCAACCGGGCAGCAGTTCTGGTGGAGCTTTGTCTCACACTTTTCTCTTGTTCTGTGTCACCTCTGCTGCTGCTAGACATGTGACGGAGGTCAAAGCCCATGGCCAGAAGCCACTCTGACTAACCCACTACAGTGCCGCAGATGAATAGCCTTGTCTTAAACAGTGAGTAAAAATAGACCGTGGTTGTGTACCATCAAGTCAGAATGGACCCATAGCTGAGCCTCTGGTGGGTTTTCAGAAGCAGTTAATCACTGGGGAGGAGATTGCTCATACTACTTCTACAGAGCAGCTAGTGGATTGAACCGTGCACCTGCAGGATTACAGCACCATTTCTTGCCACAAGGTTACCAGAGCTCTCTTAAAAAGTAGATTAGAATAAAAATATAATTCTATGAAAATGTGAGGGTATTTATTTATATTACATTATAAAGAGTACTGGTGGTAAAATATATAACCTGACATGCTTGTAATGGAAAGTAGACCATTTGAATCCACTCATTATTCGTCAAAAGAAAGAGAGGAAGTCTCCTTCAGTGAAGATTTACAACTTCAGAAAACCACTGGAGGGTCACCATCAGTTAGAATTGACTGGACATGAGTGAATTTAATGTATTACTCTATAGAACCGCTATCTAATGTTTGCCCTAGAAGTCACAAATGAAGCAATGAGCAAAGATGGTGGCCAGACTCTAATTAAAAGCAGTCAAGCAACTGGATCGAATGGTTCTAGGGCTGGTCTGGAGTACATATGAAACAAGCCTGGAGTGTCTCAGTTGCACAGAGTAAGGAAATATTTGAGAAAGAATTGAGACCAAGATAAAAGGGCTCAGGAGCTGTCATAGAATTAGTTCCAGTGTCCAAAACAATTTTTGAAACACACATATAATGGTTTAAACCCTTAACTGACTGTGTTTGAGTTAATCCTGACTCATAGCAACCCTCCTTTTGGTTTCTAATGCTAGAAATAATTATTAAAGGAGACTGCCCACCATTCTGCCACGGAACAGGTTAGGATTGCGGACATTTAGGTTATCACATAGCATGTAATGCACCATGTCACCAACAGCTAAAAATATCCATGCACTGATACTGATGCAGGTAAAAGGAAAAACATCTTACAGATGAATGCTGACTCATAGATATTGAAAATGAAGGACTAAAACATTTATCAGAACATCAAAGTAGCAGTTATTACAATCTTTAATCCAATGCTGGAGATGAAAATCAGTGGACAACTGTTTAAGATAAAGACCAGACATGTATGTAACTTCAAAGCCAACTCAACTTAACTCATTGCTGTCAAATTGGAACTAACTATGAGAGGACTCTCTAGCAATTTTTCCGAAGTTGTTAATGGCATGGGAGGACGTTGCCCACCTTTCTCCCCTAACGTTGCTCGTAGACTCAAACCTCCATAGAGATGTCATCTATGGGTTAACAGAACCACTCCCTTCAGACTACTGGACTAGAGTTAACTTAGTTTCACTTTAACTTTAAAATCCTCATCAAATAAGAAAAGGACAACCAAAAAGTTCAATGGTGCACACAAGCAGATACCATGATAATCAAGTGACTAAAGTCACATCATTGTTAATAACCAATTGATACAACTTTGAGAAAGGCATACAGCTTCTCGGTATTCTTGACAAAAATGTGTAGCCTCAATCTAACTGTTTGAGTATGTGAGACAAGCTCAACCTGAAGGACTTTCTCCAAAACAACTAAAAGATACTCAACAAAAGTGTCCACATTATGAAAAACTAGGAGATTAAAAAACTTTGAAAAAGACTAGAGCTATAGGAAATTTAAGTTTAGCTTCAATTCAGTGTAGAATCTTAGATTAAATATTGGGTGGATAAAAGAACAATATAAGAAACTAGACACAGTGTCATTAAAGGTTACACTTTAGTTAGTGCACTGGAACTGGAATAAATTGATTTTTACTTGATAAGATTATAACAATAATGCTATGGATATATATAATGTTAACTCTGCTCAGTTAATTTTTCCTAACATTTAAGTCTATAGTTATTTAGAATTCTAATTATTTAGAACTTTAAGTAAGGGAGGAGATTGGCAGTGAGAAATGCCACAGTTGTTTCTTGGTTTTTTAAAAATTCTCTTCTTTTTAAATCCCTCAAATTTTAAAAATAAAGGGAAAACATATACACACACATACACACATAAAAATTAACTTGTAAAAACTCATTGCTGTGGAGTGGGAACCAACTCACAAATGATCCTCCAATGGATTTCTGAGGCTGTAAATTGCAAGAAAGGAGATTGACTTAACCTTTCTCCTGCAAAGTCACAAGTGGATTCGAACCATCAGGAAAATATAGCCTTTGGCTTAACAGCAAAACTCCCTATGCACTAGGGCACCAGCATTCCATATATCAACTGGATATAGTAATTATATATTTTTTGGTATTTCTGTATGCATATATGAACTCACTTCTTTGGAGGCAATTCTGACTCATAGCAACCCTCCATTGAGTTACCAAAGCTGTAAATCTTAATGGAAGGAGATTGTCCATCACTGTCCAGGGGAGCCATTTGTGGACTAGAATCCCTAGGCCTGCAGCCTTTTTTTTAGCAGTGCACGTGCTAAAGAGTAATCCACCAGAACTCTCTCTGTATCTATGATCGACCTCTCAAAACCAGAGATTTCACCCTGTAGGTGTAAACTGTTGGGAAAAGTAATAAAATATCAGGATTGGTGGTCCTAGAATGGACCCAGGGAAGTGAAGTATATTACACATCATTTTATAGTCATATTATACTCTCTGGCTTACCTTCTCTTCTTTATCTGTTTTGTTAGTGTGCTTCTTTTCATTTCTGTCTAAAGTTAATTATTAGGGCATTCATTATTCTTAATTTTTAACTGGTGCTTAATAGATTGCTAGAATCCATGGTTTATGTCAGGTTCTTGATGAGTTTATATGACTGTTGTAACATCGAGTTTGAACTGACCCATACCTGACACTCCAGAGGGTTTTCAGAGGCAGTAAATCACACAGGAGGAGAGTGTCCATCTTTCTTCTGCAGAGCAGCTTGTGAATTTGAACCACTTGCCTTAGAGTTGTTAGACCAGCTCCTTATCATGAGGCCACCAGAGCCCCTATGTGGAGTGGTGTATTTATGGAAACAAGATATTCCAGAAAAAAGCTTAAAATAGTAACCCATTTGCTATTATTTCATTTGGTCAACACATTGGAAGTGAGACCACTTGTGAATGTTAAAATAAATTGCTTGTTTTAAAAATGAGTGAAGTTATATTGAGTTCTTCTGAAGCTGAATTCCTTGTGATTTCTATTCCAATTCTCTCCTGAACACGACGCTGTAAATTACTGTGGTATTTTTAGAAACCTGTCAATTGAAGATTAAAATATTCTCATCTTTTGCCACATAATTATGGCAAACCTCATTGATGTCTCATCAAAGTCTTTCAGGAATATACATGCAATGAGAAGTCATCACTGAACTAGAGTTATTAATCTTCTTTAATTTTTGTTATTAATCATTTGCAAGCCGACGTGACATGCTGAGAACTTCAAAGGCTTCTTTCTTTGTCGAGTCTGAGATCATTTCCAGGCTTCTCTATGAGAGAATATGTGGCTTGGCTTCTTTTCCAGCTCGGTCAAACAGAACTTCAAACCTACCATCCTTTGCTTTTAGGGTAAATGGAACAACTGGTTAATGTCTCCTCCTTGATTTGAGGGAAAGAAGTAGGAAACAACTTTATATACATTTGGAATCCTTTTGATATTTTTCTGGTAACATTAAGTCTCATTTATTATACAAATAAACTTTATTATTCTTTTTAAAAGACCCCTTGTGACAAAGTGGTTTAAGAGATGAACTGCTAACAAAAAAGTCTGCAATTACAGTGGGCCTTCCTTTGAAGAGAGAGGAGGCAGTCTGCTTCCAGAAAGATGTAGAGTTGAGAAACACTAAGGGTAAATTTACTGTTTTCTAGGGTTAATATGAATCTGAGTCAAATCAATAGACTATATTTTAAATTTTATTTTAGACTGATTTATTTACAAAGTTGAATGCATTGTTTTTCACACAAGATCTTTTCCTATTTCCTTTACCCTCCCACCCATCAAATTGTAAGATCTTATGACTAATTCCATCCCTACCCTCCCTCTACCACCCATCCTCTCCCCTCTGATTCTGCCCTCCTACCTTGGATCCTCATACTCATTCTACAAAAATGGTTTTATACAGTATTTGTCCTTATGGGACTGAGTTAGTTCACTCAGTATAATGGTCTCCAGTTCTTCCCATGCTAGGTAGTAATTTACAAAATCATAACTGTAACCGCCGGCTGAAACTGACCTGCGGGTTCATACGTGTTCTAGAGTGGAACCTGTGCGGATTAAAAGAGGAGCAGGGACACGAGAGATGGGGGCAAGACAAAGATTCCTGATCAAGCCCAAATTTATTCAATGAATTCTGTTATAAATAGGCAGCAGAGTAGGCTGGGCTGCCAGGGAACCCAGCCCTAGGTTATCAGTTTACAAAACAGAGGGAGGGGCATGCCCCAAGGTATTGATTTACAGGTGCTGATTTAAGAGGTAGGCATAGTCCCAGAGATGGACAGGGGTGGCAGCTGCATGTCCAAAAGTGTTATCAGTGGCAGAGTTAAAATCTACTCAGGATGGCTTCCTACATACTCCTGTGTGCTGTGTAGTATTACATTGTGTGAATGTACCATAATTTCTCAGTCCATTCAATTGTGGTAGGACATCTGAGCTGTTTCTTATAATGGTGAATAATGCTGCTATGAACATTGGTGTGCAAGTCTCCATTTGTACATCAGTTCTCACTTTCTCAGGGTATATTCCAAGCAGTGGAATAGCTATGTTCAGCTTTTTGAGGAAGCACCAATCTGCCTTCCAGAGTGGTTGTACCATTTTACAATCCCACCAACAATGTATGTGAGTTCTTATCTCGCCATATCCTCTTCAACATTTATTACTTGTTGTTCTGTTAAAGTTTACCATTACTACTGGAGTGAGATAGCATATCATTGTGGTTTTGATTTGCATCTCTCTTCTTGCCAGTTATTTAGAGCATTTCTTCATGTGTCTGTTGGCCATTCAAATACCTTCCTCTGTGAAAATTTGTCTTTTTTTTTTGTGGAGGCCCAGTAGTATTCTATAAACCTTTGTTATGAGACCTTGTGTGAGATGGTATTGCCAAATATTTGTTCCCAGTTATTTGTTCTTTTTACTCTATTGGGAAAAGTTTTTGATGTACACAGGGATTTAATCATTAGAAGGTCCAATTCATGAATTTTGGCCTCTTCAGACTGCATTTCTGTCTGTATTTTCCAGTCTCTTTATACCATAGACTAGGCCCTCTAAGCTTGATCCTCTTTTGTCTCTTAGGAACGTTATGGTTTTGAGCTTCACTCCCATCTGATCCACCATGAGTAGATTTTTTTTTTATATGGTGTGAGATGTGGATCCCTTTTCAGCTTTCTGCAGGTTGCAGTCCAGTTTTGCCAGCACCATTTGTTGAAGAGGTTGTTTCCCCATGTGATGGGTTTTATTTCCTTGTTGAATATCAGTCTACCATAGATAGCTTGGCCTATTTCTGGGTTTTCTATTCTCTTCCATTGGTCTATGTGCCTATTTTGTTTGTTATTTATTTTTTTTTTAGGTTTGGTTTTTGTATTGTTATATATCTTTTTCAAGTGATTCTCTCTTCAACAGACCCAAATAAGCCCTTTTATTTATCAGGACTTACAAAATATATATTATACATAGATTTGCCAACAAACCATGTAGGAAAGAGACTACTAACTACGTTGGTTGAGAATGTTTTAGTTTGCTTTAAGGGAAAAAAAAATATGAAACACCCACAGAGGCTCCAAAGCATTCATTCTTAGCCCTAGTCATTTGAAAATAACATTTTGTTATTAATAATAAAAATTTCCCCCTGTTCTATTGTCCTTTTATATTGAACATCTGTCAGTTTATACACTGAGACTTGTTTTGTGGCTGTTATGTGTGGTCAAATTGGAACTGATTCATAGCTGACCTTTCAGAGTCTTTAAATCACCCTGAGAGAAAATTGTGCATCTTTTCCTCAAAAAGCAGCTGGTGGATTTGAATAGCCTGCCTTTGAGTTGGCTGCACAACGCCTCACCCAGTAGGCGACCAGCTAGCCTTCTCACTTTTCTCCTTAATGTCAGCTTAGTTGAACATTAAATGTATGAATGTACCATTTTCAAATTTCAGCACTACATTACTTATGAATGGCATCCACTTCCTAAATAACATGCTTTCAGAAACTCTCTGAACTCTGTTAAGTGTTGATAGTTGTAGAGAGGCTTCTTTTTGTTCATAGGGTCGTGCTCAACTCGAAGGCCATGAAGAACAACAACAATTGTTGTTAGGTGCAATTGAGTCACCTGTGACTGACTCCTAGTGACCCCATGTTCAACAGCTCTGAACTCTATTCCATCCTGAGCTAATATCACTGTTTCCAACACATCTGTCCCCATAACCCCAGTCACTGTATTAATCTATCTCACCCAGGGTCTTTCTATTCTGTGTTATCCCTCCACCCCTCCAAGCATGATGTCCTTCTCCAAGGACTGGTCCCTCCTGGAAACATGTTCAAAGTATGTGAGATGCAGCTTCAAAATCCTGCTTCCAGAAAGCAACTTGGTTTCCATTTAATAATATGTCTACTTGTCTTAAATGAACTATGTGTATGTATTAGAGTTACACATAGAAACAAAAACATTAAAATATTTTCCATTTGATGTAGGTATTCTATCACCAGAAACAAAATGTTCAGTATTGATGACAATGGTACAATCTTTGCAACTATCCCTCTTGACCGAGAGATTAGTGGTTGGTACAACATAAGTATTACTGCTACAGAAAAATGTAAGTACCCATATGAGAACCATGCATTGGTTCAAAATGTTTCACAAGCCATTAAAAATTTTCTTACAGTGGAGAAAAAGAAAATGAGCTTAATGTTGAAATTGTAGTTAAATAATATATAATTTGATTTACATGTCATTTTTTGTTATTTCAAATAAATGTTGGCTGATTATTAATCTATTGGGACCCATAAACATTTTGAAAAAATGTTTTCCTAATTATAAAAATAAAGAATATATAATACAAACATCATATAAAGCCTAGGAAAATACAAAAATGAGGCAAAAATGAACTGAAATTCTAAAACCAATATATAATGCAGCAAGTGTCCACACAGGGTAGTAGTACCTAAGGGCTTGACAGGGTACATAAAGTTTAATAATTCAAATCCACCAGCAGCTCCGTAGAAGAAAGATGTGCCAGTCTACTTCCAGAAAGATTATAGCTTTGGGTCTTTATAGAGAAGTTCTGCCCTATTCACTAGGGTCATTATGAGTTGAAATGAATTTGATAACAGTTGATTTAGTTAATATGACTTAAATTCTTTTTTCATGGTTGTAAAATCAGTGACAAGTGTTGAGGGTAGAAGTGTCCGATATCCACTAAGTCATTCCACAGGGGGAAGAGTTGGCATCAACATCAACCATATAAAACCAAGTCTAATGAGGTCAGACACGCCTTTACAGATTCACAAATCTCCCGAACTTATCTTAGGGCTCTCATTGATTCTACTAATCTGTTATAATAACTAGACAGAACCCACAGACAGGCCTAACAATTATAGAATTTATTAAGAAGATAAGAGCTAGTGATTCAGGTAAGAACAGGATGCAGTTTTCAGCAAGAACAGATTCCAAAGTATACTCTTTCTGGGCTTCTGAAATTCGACGTGAGAGCTCTCAGCCAGTGTCATGCAGCTCTTTAAGTTCTGCCAGTTTTGCTTGGATGAAAACCTTTGGCTCTGCTTCCATAGCATGGCAATTCTACCTCAGATCCATCTGGTCTTGGGGTCTCCACACCTTCCATTGCTACTGCTGCTGTTGCTGTTATTCTGGTGGTAGATTTATGTTTTCCTCCCCAAGCCTGGTTCACTTTAAACCTGGCAGTATAGCAAAACTGACCAATCCACTTCTTAGTAGACTATATTCCTTCTTTGCATGTGGCCTAGCAGTAGGCACTGCAATTCCAAAGGTGAGTAGTGTGAGTCCAATAGCTGCACTGAAGGAGAAGCATGGGAAGTCTCCTCCCAAGCAATTTACTACATCTGAAAACCCATTAGAGAGTCAGCTATGGGTCAGTGCTGATAGATGGCACACAACAACAGGCAAAAAGTTTGTTGACTATGCAAACACATTTAACTGTGTGAATTATAAAAAATTATGGATAACATTGAGAAGAATGAGAATTCCAGAACACTTCATTGTGCTCATGAAAACCTATATATAGACTGAAAAACATTTATTTGAACAGAGCAAGGAACACTATGTGGTTTAAAATCAGGAAAGGTAGCATCAGAGTTGTGTCCTTTCTCCATACCTATTCAACTTCTATTCCAAGCAAATAATTCTAGAAGATGGGCTATATGACTGGGCATCAGGATTTAAGGAAGACTCATCAACAAATTGGCATTAGACAGATGACACAACTTTGCTTTTTGAAAGTGAAGAAGACTTGAAGCACTTATTGCAGAAAATCGATGGCTATGACTCTCAAGATAAATTGCATCACACTATCAAGGAAACTTAGAAGCAGGGAGGCATCAACTTCATAGATAACATGCCTAGGGAAACTCTATGAACTTTGATATATGTCAATAGTTATAGAAAGGCATCAGGTCCTGATCACTATGAGTCATGCTTGACTTGATGGCAATTAACAACAACATAAAAAAAAAATCCTCAGGATTGTACCAAAAGTCAAGAGATGGAGAAAAGTTTGAAATTGTTAGTGGTTTCACTTTATTTGGATCAACAATCAGCACCTATGGTAGCAACGATCAAGGAATCAAAAGACATGTTTTATTGAGATAAATAGGCTGTCAAGAATCTCTTTAAAGTGCTATAGATCAGTGATGTCACTTTAAAGACTAAGGTGCACGTGGTCCAAGCCATGGTTTTTTCAGTTGCTTTCCATGCATTTGAAAGTTGAATAATGACCAAGGGTGACAGAAGAGAATCGATGCCTTTGAGTTCTACAGTTGAAGTAGAGTAGTGAATATTCCACACCCTGTCAAAAGAACACCCAAGTTATCTTGCAGGAATTGCAGCTAATGTGTTCCTTAGAGGCAAGGAGGTAAAAGTTTCCCTCATCTACTTCAGACATTCTAAGGAGAAGATAGTCCTTAGAAAAAAAGACATCATGTTGAGAAATAGGGAAAGTCAGAGAAAGAGCACTAAGATATAACAACACCTTGTCCTTAACATTGGGTTCAAACATATGGCAGATAGTGAAGGTGGAAAGGATAGTGCATGGATCAGGTTTGTTGTTCGTAGGCTCTCTATGAGTCTTGATAGTAGACTTGATGGCACCCAAGAACATAAAAACTGCCAAAGATTTTGTCTTATTAGTAAGCAGTACAATGGCTTTGGTGGGCCACAAACACTACACATTGGTATAGTCCTGTCAAGATATCCTACTGTGTACAATATGAGTCTTACTTGACTTAGTGACACTTAACAACAAAAACTGAACTATCTGTTGAAGGTAAAACAGTGGTTTATAAAGTCTCAATGATTTTCTAGTCATATCTGTTTAAATGAATGAGATAAACATTTTCAACTGTTTTTAACTGGACATTACTTTATATATATTCTCCCAGCTAGTGAAAAAGAGGAAAACTTGAAGTCTTTCCAACAATCACTTTCCCTGAAAAAGACAGTTATAGACAGAAAGAAGGAGTAATTATGATTTCCATAAGATTTGTTCCCTTAGTGTAAATTTTGTAATTCAGAAAATTATATAATAATGCTATAAATTTTACTTTATAAATAATAGTAAAAATATTGAATACAAATTAAATTTCATATCATTTGTAACAGATGGAAATTTTCTTCTAATTAACCATAATCAGGTAAGCCTGATTTTATAAGTTTATAAAAAAGATCATTCTACAATTAAATTATAAAATATGAGTGTCTTATTCTAAATCCATAACAGATTGTTAGAAATATTCTTGCATTTTTATAAGAAGGTAAAAATTATTCCATACCAGTTGAGAACATAAGCATTTAACATTAATTATATTTCACTGAGAATTATTATGAGAACAGGTATGAAGAATTCGAAAAACATAGACTGGTTGATTACATCACAGTATCAAGGAATAAATGATCAAATCAGATTTATAGGTTTAGCTGGGCTGGTAATCAAGTTGTCAATAGTAACAATTGTTTTCCTGAGAGATAGTCTGAAGTTTCCCTTTTCTGGATTTAAAAGTAAATAGCATTATCCAGATTTACTACTTGAATATTTTATTGAAAACTATTCATCAGTGCAACTATTCAGTGATTCAAGGTAGAACACAAAAAGATGATCAAAATTATTCCCATTAATTAGTTATTGAATTTAATACAGCATGGCAAAGAATTTGTGAAAATAGGATATCTACAATACATCCTCTCATATAGTATTTTGAATATGTTTATATTTTTGAGATATTTGGACATATATTTATCTTTTCTTCAAGATGTTGGAGAAATGACAGGTGATATGACTGAGGGAAAGTACCTCAACTATTTTTGTCATTCTTTGAATAGCTCTCTGGAAACACTGCAGGATGACTTTGCTTTGCATTTTCAATATTCTTTCTAACTAAACAATAAAGGGGAGTGGCAAATATAACAATAAAATAAATGTCTGCTTTAAGAGAAGAAATGCCAAGGCTTTTAGTGTCAAAAATGTACAAAGATACTGACTTTAAAAATAAGATATTTTTGTTCACTGAGTATTTCTGAGATTAAATTATTTATAATGTCACCACTGACAAATCAATTGCAGAAAAGAGTTTAGAGTAGTCCAAAGGACCAAAGGATATCTTTGAAGAACATTACTCTATAAACTACTGTCAGCTATACATCAGTCTTATTTTAATAAAATTATATGAATGCTGAAATAATATGAATTGAACTTTATTCTTACTTATACCTTACATATACTTTATACCTATAGTCTTATTTATACCTTTCGTATACCTTACATCTAAGGAGCATTTTATTTTTAAGAATATGTCAATGGTGTTCATGAAATTAGGTACACTTCAATGTTAATTACTAGAGTGCTGACATTTTTAAACTTTTTTATTTATGTTAAAATCTTTTCTTCATGTATTTTAAAAAATGACTACATTTATTTAAAGTGCCAAAGAGCAAGAGTGTCAGTTTAAAGACCAGTGTGTCTGATTCAACCCGCGCCATTTGCTGCTGTGTCATACGCACATGAAAGTTAGACAGTGAATAAGAAGACCAGAGAACTGATTCCTTTGAATTTTATTGTTGGAGAAGAACACTGAATATCCCATGTTGTTGTTGTGGTGGTGGTGGTGGACCATAGAGTCAGAACCAACGCATAGCTGACCCTCCAGCGGGTTTTCAGAGACAGTTACTTGCAGGGGAGGAGATTGCCCATCCTTCCAGAGAGTGGCTGGTGGGTTCGAACTGTATGTATTAGGGATTATGAAATGCTCGGGGCTCTTATGGATTTCTTTTCATCGCAAGTGGGTGTCAGCTGAGGGGTCTTGCCAGATGAATTGAGAGTCTCTGGCCCAGAGTCCATCAGCATCTAGGTGTGCCAGAATTGTAGAACACTGAAATATGTGGCCATGCCTGTAGACTGAAGACCAAGGATTAATGTGTTTTGAATCTTGGTTTTAGCTGGACCTTAGGATGGCCTCTCGTGTTGGAGGGACACGTGTTAAGAATTGAAGTGTAGCTTCTTACCACTAGGCCACCAGAGGTCCCTATAAATACTAAAAGAATGAGCAAGTCTGCCTTGGAGGAAGTACA